GCTCCCTGCCCTGTGTCTCCTTATCTCATGAGTAGGCTCCTTTTTGTGTCTGTCATTGCCACTTTCCTGCTGGACTTGAATGTGAAAAGGGTTACTTTCCGTGTTATACCCCACTCGGATGTGATAGTATGGAACTTGTGTTTAGATGAAACTGTAAATTACCGAGTGTGTATAGTTTCAGAAATTCTCAAAGCCCAGTGACAGTCTGGGGACTCTTGAAGATCATCTTGTCTTTCTCTTTAGCCTGCAAATATCCTCTTGGATGAACACGGACACGTCAGGATATCCGATCTCGGTCTTGCCTGTGACTTTTCCAAAAAGAAGCCACATGCGAGTGTGTGAGTACCACATCAACTCTCTTCACTCCTGTTTCTCTCCACGACGCGTTGATTCGCTCAGGCCCCGATCTGGTCACTTGCTCCCCCTGCTTTTTCTTGCTAGAGGTGATTCTTAATATGTGGTAATGCTGGGAGGGGGCCAGGTCCCAAATCCCTGGCGATGGGAGACGAGATAAGCGGGGAGCGTGGATGGACCCAGAGAGTGACGTCAGGGGCCGGGGTATCTCTGCAGCGCACCCGAGCCCACGATGGCAGGGTGACCCTCGTCAGTCAGTTTACCTGCTTGACCGCAGTCTTCTCCGTAAAGTAGAGGCAGTAGCAAATGCCTGTAAGTTGTCTGTCCTACGGATAAGGGAAGTCTGTGTGCCTGGGAAGGTGCAGAGGCATCTGTGTGGAACGCTCCAAGGGAGGCCCAGAGGTCGAGTGTCTCTCTCCAGCTACTTTTCTCCTTCATTTGCAAAATGGCTTTTTTTCCCCCCCGAAGGGAAATTAGGAATCTTTTTTCTTTTTTTTTTTTTTTAATTAAAAACACAAATCATCTGCTCGCAGGTCATGGTAGACTGGAGCATTTATTACATCAGTCCTCCAGCAGACCATGTGGAGGGAACCCCGTGCCCCGCAGCCCCCAGCCAGCACCCGACCCCTCCGCACGCCCTCCCCTCCCCCGCTCCCCCCCGGAAGCTCGAACACAGGGGCGTAAAGCTACCACACCAGGGCTCCGCAGAAGCAGAATGACACGTCATTTCTGTTTCTTCGGCTATCAGTTTATCGGAGTGGAAAGTGTAGACATGTGTGCGGTCTGTGGAAGAGCAGATGCGTGTTGCTTTTATCCTTTCTCTTTGTAAATGGATCACTCTCAGCACTGAAATCTTGGAAAATTACATTTTCATTGTCCACCTGGAGCTAACATTCATCTCTGTGGTGAATGGGGCTGATGAAACTCCCCGGGGTCTCCTGTCACGCATCCGTACAGAAACTAAAGCCCAGACCCTTCTTTTTGTGGGTCTGGAGGTGGCCCTGCATGGCAGTGTTGGAGGAGGGCCTGCGGTAAATCAGAAGCGCCTTGTGAGGCCCCGATCGGATGTGAACGGAGGATAGCACCGATTCTGTAAACACGTTTCCCCCTTCCCTCAGAAGCCGGGGTGCTGTGATAACAGCGTTCGCATTTTGCCGGCACTTTACAATTACGAGGCCAGAACTTGTGGTCGTATAAGCTTCTCTCGGCAAGTTCATCAGACATTTTTAAGAGGGTTGTTTGAATTTTTAATGCTGCAGCCATTTGGTATGCTAATTTCTTCAATTTAGTGTGGCCGCCACTGAATATGAATCCGAGAGCTCAGAAAAGTTAATCTTGCAAAGGAATTAACTTGCAGCGATGGGATGGCGTTAATTTATTTCCTTACAGAGCTGCACCCGCTTCTTACTGTAATTCACCTGTCGGCCCCAGGAGGCGGGCTGTTCTCAAGATTCCAGCAGGAGCTACAAAAAGGGGTAGACGTGGGAAGGTTGGTTTCTACGCTTACATGATCATAGTGAGGCCACTATAAAAAAAAGATAAAGGCGCAACCAGATCCTTTTTTTTTTAAGTAGAGGGGGCATGACTGGGATAGGAACAGGCTTCTGAGTCAGCAGATCTGGGTTCGAATCCTCTTCCAAGCCGTGCTTCCCTTCTCCCCTCTCTAAAAAGGACATAACAATGAAGTTTATTTCGTCTGATTGTTGTGAAAGTCAAGTCAACCGACTAATATGCAAGTTTTTATGTGACATTGGCCGGGTGCTAGGAGCAAGCAATGCTGTGGGGACCCCTTGGAGCCGGCTGTGTGAGAGGTGGCCCTTGAGTGGGTGGTGGCGTGCCAGGAGCCATAGCGCTCACCGTGTCATCGGTTGAACATCTGCTGTCCCAGGCGTGCTCAGCTGCTGTGAATACGCTACGATCTTCATAGAAGCACCAGACGTTATAGGTAGAATTATCTACTTTATGGTACGGTCCCTGAAGTCCAGAGAAATCAAGGTCACAGCCCTGGCACATTGTGGGGCTAGAATTGCAGTCCAGTTCGGTCTCCAGAGCTTATACTCAGGCGACCTCCCGGAGGCTCGATGAGTAATTTAGGGCCAGAATTTCACCCTGGACTTGGTTTCTTGAGTCTTTTCAGAACTGTAGATGTGATCCCTGGACTCCATCTGGCTGGTCCACCTACAAGAAGTGTTGTGGTTGAGGTCCCCAGTTTGGGCTTAGGTTTAGTCCATTTAATGACGGGATCAAGAATTATTGTAAATGGAAAGTTAACTGTGCAGTGGCCCCGAAAAGTCAAAAACTTCTGTAATTGAACAGATTACCAGTGCCCGATTTGAGTTCCAGCTTATTTGCTGTAAGAACACAAAGTTGCATCTCATGTCACAGTGTTCTCAAAACCTTCGCGTGTTCTTTCAGTATTTGTAGTAGTTCGGATCGTCAGGGGACAGTGTTGTCAGGAAGCATCAGTAGCTGCCATGCGGGCAGAGTCAGAAAGCCATGGGGGCAGGTGGACCGGTATTTGGCTCCTATTGTGGCCAGTGTCATCATCTTAGAGAGCTGATCTGCATTAACCTATTGTGTTTACCCTCGCTGTACTTTCCCTTTCCAGAATTGGGTTCTGATCCCAAGAATCATAGGCTCACAATTCACGACAAAGGTCTGTCCGGGCAACACTGAAATTAACCCTTCCCAGAGACTGGTTTGGAGACCCCTCATAGAAATCTCCAGTACCCTCACAGTGTGGCTAGGTGACCTTATGCCATCAGACTTTGGATTCCGGATGGTGGGGCTACTGCTGGTGCTGGACCCGCCTGTGAAGGACCAGCGCCCCTGTTCACTGTCTGAGAGCAGCCCTCCAAATAGAACTCGTTAGACAGAGAGCTCTGGGCACAGTGCTGATCCTGGGTCAGTAATGATCATGAGTGATCCAGGAGCACTTTCTGAGCAGATTCTCAGTGAGCATAACTTAAAAGTGATTATAATAAGAGTAGAGATTAAAGGCCCTGACGTGGATTGAGTTCTTCTGTGCCAGGACTGTTCTTAACCCATCACGTATATGTAATCCACACGGCAACCTTGCGCAATGAAGTGTTGTCTTATCACCCGTCTTGTCTGGGAAGAAGATCAGTGAGGGGTGGACAGGTTGGAGGGTGTGGCTTTTGCAGGTGCCCTTTCGGGCTGCGTCTTTGCAAGCCCCCATGAGCCCCCTCTTGCTCTCCTAGATGGAACAGTGCACACTCGGATCCTTAAGGAGGAGCCCAGAATCAACCAATGGGAGGGGATTCGAAGTTGCAGAAGAGTGCAAATTGCAGATAAAACGGTTGTCCTCCCAAATCTTTCAGCTTCTGAAAAGCATCCTCACATTTGCTTAGCCGGGTCCTCTGACGTGTCAGTAGCCCTTAAAACCTGACACAGGGTTTCTCTATCTTTTTTGCTTTTTTTAAATTTTTTTAAGTTTATTTTAAGAGAGAGAGAGTGGGGGGCAGGGCGTGGGACAGAAAGAGAGAGATCCCAAGCAGGCTGTACGCTGTCAGTGCAGAGCCCAACGCAGGGCTTGATCTCACAAACTGTGAGATTTTGATCTGAGCTGAGATCAAGAGTCAACCACTTAGGGGTGCCTGAGTGGTTTAGTCAGTTAAGCATCCAACTTCGGCTCTGGTCATGATCTCCTGGTTCGTGCATTTGAGCCCCGCTTCGGGCTCTGTGCTGACAGCTCGGAGCCTGGAGCCTGCTCCAGATTCTGTGTCTCCCTTTCTCTGTCCCTCCCCTGCTCACATTGTCTCTCTCTCTCTCTCTCTCT